CGGCCCACGCATACTTGCTCAACACATCGATAACCGTGAGTATGTATTTATGACCCTTGTTGAGTCGAGAGTACGAATGCATGTCCACCACGTCCGCCTGCCACAGATCGTTGTGTCCGCGTACAATGACGCGTCTTCGTGGAAAATGTCTTCTCGCCGGAACATGTAATTCCTCGACTAATTGTCGCTTTTCGGAGATGTTTTTGTTCTCTCGCACGTTTGATCGAGGCATAATTAATATGCGATATTAGTATATCTCGCTTACTGTGTCGAGTTAGATGTTGGATGTCTCAGCACATTCTTTATCTCATGCATCATTAATCGCAGCGCCTGCACGTTTGTTTCGAGCGCGATAATTTTTTGCTCAATTTCTCCCTGTCGATCTCTCAAAAGTTTATCCACGTATTGTTTGTTGACGGCGTCTGTATCAGCTTCCAGTTGCGCTACTCGTTGAATCTTGCGCGACCTTGCGTCAAAGCCGATAGTAGTTTGGCAGAGAGCGTTATCGCGAACGTAATTTCTCAATAATCCATTCCATTCATAGTACAAATTGTTCGACGTTCCAAGCGATAATCCAAATTTATTAATCGACATTTCGGTACCGAGAACATTGACCGAATGACGCGTATCGCCGACGCATAGTTTAATTTATAATAATGCCGGCCTCGCGAAGTTCTTCGATAATTGACAAGATGTCATTGTCGTGAGCATTGTTGCTGGCTCGACGCGAGGTGTCCATCAATCGCAATCGATCCACCAATTTGTTGGGATCGTTCCAGTGCACGTAATCGATCATGTTGTCGCTTAGCGTCATGGTGCGCGGCGCGTCTATACCTCTTCCCATCTTTCTATCGGGGAATAATGGCGCAATTATATATTTGTACTTGTACCCTTTATTACTTTTAATAGGATTATTAACTTTGTTGTCACGTTTATGCGCATTTGTTATATTTAATATACTTTGATATTTATGCAAATCGTCTCGAGTATATTTTTTATGATTGGGAAATTTTTTAAAAATCAAACCGTAGATTCGGTTCCCTTATATTTTATTCCATCGATAATTATATTATCTTCCTTGTCCACATCGAAACATTTATCACCGAGCATCATTCCATCGTTGGTAAATTTAACACCGTAGACGTAATTCATGCTCTTATTTTTATCAACACTCATAATATCTCCTATATATTTTTGCGCCAATGGACCTAAATGCTCTCGGAATGTTTTCTGACCTTCGGACGTTTCTAATTCGTGTCGGACCGATGTTACAAACGAATCGGGTGTGGTCTCGTAAATTTCTTCGACGGATGTAGATGGTATTGTTTGACGCGGTTATACTTTTATCGGAGTAGAAACAGTAGCCATATTAGAAAATTGCTTCCTTCGCTTTGATCGATTCGGTGTCGAATATATCGGTGAATCGTTTATCGGCATATTTATCCGTGCTCGCTTTAGTCCTTGCTTGGACTCTTTTATTTTTTCTCGTGCTTCTCTTCAAACGTCAAACTCCAGAATATATAAAGGCTGATCCGGAGGATCGACAATATCGTTCGTGCATGCGACATTACAACCAGCCGTGGCAGCGAACGCACATTGACGGTTCGCCTCCATTGATAAAAGATTGCGACGTATGTCAGCGAGAATTGTAAAAGGCAGCGGCCTATTAAATCGTGCGATAAACGCGCTTCCCATCGAATTACATATTCCCGGTTATCAGTTTTGCGGGTCGGGAACTCGATTAGAGAAACGATTGGCTAGAGGTGATCGAGGCATCAATCCATTGGACGCGGCGTGTCGCGAACACGACATTGCTTACGCGCGAAGCAACGACCTCGAGCAACGTCACATCGCTGATCGCATACTAGCTGCAAGAGCGCGAGAACGCATTATCGCGAGGGATTCGACTTTCGGTGAAAGAGTAGCCGCTACGATTGTTTGGGCGGCAATGAAGGCAAAGACAAAACTCGGCATGGGGATGAAAAAGCCATCGACGACAAAGAGGAGGAAGAAACGAATACTTCCAGTAGCGAAACGTGGTGGTATTTTACCACTTTTACCGTTGTTGGAAGTTGTCGGTTCATTGGCCGGCGGTGCGGCGGAATCGCAAAGGCGGTAAACGATAGCAAGGCTGCGCAACGTCAGCTGGAAGAGATGCAGCGTCACAATCGCGCTATGGAAGGTCGCGGACTTTATCTCTCTCCGTACAAGCGTGGACAGAGATTCTCAACAAAGTCTAAGAGAAAAAAAAGGCGTCGAAAAAACATTAAAAATGCCTACATGCCGGTGCGACAACTAACGTGCAATTGGAACAATTTGCGAAACGTATATGAAACGTGCAATTGGAACAATTTGTGAAACATATACCTTTCTTTAGAGGTGTTTTCATGAGCAATAATTTACCGATAAGCGGTGTACGACGAAACGAGAGCGGTATCGTCAATTTGGATGACGTTGATGGTCCCGGTACTCATTGAGTGGCGTACGCAAAGAGGGGTGATCGTATCGTATATTTCGACAGTTTTGGAAATCTTGGACCGCCCAAGGAACTTGTGCGATATTTCGGACGAGTGAAGATTAAATACAATTACACATCTTATCAAAGTTATAATCAGAGTATCTGTGGACAGTTGTGTTTAAAATTTCTTCAAGCGATCAATCTAAAGCCTGACAATCCATCGTCATGACTCAGTATTCGTTCGACATGTCACTGACACTTACGTTGACTGGCAGAAGCAGTGTTCTCGCTGTAAGCTATTTCCCCGCTATAGATTTGACCTATGCCGATTACGAGCTCGGATTAACGGATTTTGAAACTTATCACACGATTCCGAACGTAAATTTTTCGAATAATAAATTTTATTTTGACAACGACGACAAGGAAATTACGATTCCCGAAGGATCGTACGAATTGCACGCCATAAATGACTATCTCAAACGCGCAATTTTGCGAGATGAACACCTTTCCAGAGATGGTGAAAACGATTATGATGAGGAATATCCAATAGCGCTCCGCGCAAATCACATTACGCTAAAAAGCGAAATCAAATGTGCCTACAGAATAAACTTTACCAAACTCGACAATGTAGGATCTTTGCTTGGATTCTTGTCGAATCGTATATTGCAACCTCGCAAGTGGTATGAATCGGAACCTGTTAATATTATAAACGTAAATATTATTCGTATAGAATGCAACGTGACTACTGGTGCGTACAGCAACGGTATGCGCGTAGACACGATACATGAATTTTCACCGAGCGTACCGCCAGGATATAAGATATCGGAAACGCCAGCACAGATCATTTATCTGCCGATCGTCGTACGGAGCATTACGGATTTAACGATACGTATTGTGGATCAAAGAGGTCGATTGCTCGATTTTCGAGGAGAGGAAATTACCGTAAGATTGCATATACGGCGGCGACAAACATAGTATGCTCGTGCTGAATGAAACGGAGCACGCGAGAGACAATACTTTTGCGATAGGACGAGCGGTATCGGGTGACAGTAATAAGATTGCTGTAAAAAGAAACTGAGCGCGTTGAATCGTGAACTTTTGAAATCATTGGGATTCATCGTACGAAAAGAATGATTGATATTTTGAATATCGGAGGTGAGCCAGTCTTTGACGATCGCATCGTCAAGATTGAGACTCATACGTACAATCCGTACGCCAATACGACGCTTTGATACAGCGATGAGATACGAATACAACATCAGGATTTGTACACGTTACCATGCGAAAGCTTTCTTTACATCGAGGGAAGGTTTAATGTGCGTAAAGCGAATGATGAAATGAAGGTTGTATTGGGAAACAATTGCGTCGCATTCATGTTTGATGAGCTTCGATACGAACTCGATGGAGTAGAGATTGATCGCAACAGAAATGTTGGAATAACATCAACGCTTAAAAATTATGTCTCTGTAACACACCAGAAAAGTATAAACTTGAAGAATGCTGCGTGGGATTTGACGTACAACGGCGACAAAAATTATTTCAACTTTTGCGTGCCGCTCAACATGTTGCTGGGATTTTGCGAAGATTATAAACGCGTTGTGATTAACGCTCGTCATGAATTGATTTTGATACGTTCGCGCAACGATAATAATTGTCTATTCGGACATCCGTGTCTAAGGCTGAGATTGAATTACTCAATATACAGTGGCGTATGCCTCATGTAATATTGAACGAGTATTAATAAATTATCAATTTTGCGAATGTTGGAAAGCGGACGATATTGAAACATGAGTTTCCGATCTTGGGACCTATACGAATCTTCCTCTACTACATAGCACGACCAAACATTCGTGACCGTGAAAGCTGCTTCCCAGCTAGAGAAACCGCGAACGTGATCTTTGCACTGCAAACTGGTAAAAAGAATTCAGTAGTCACAAGATGTTATATTTTCGATGACTGCAAATGACCAACGTTAAACTCTATTTAAACTCGGAATTTTATCCTTACGATNTTATTTTATGAATAATTTAAATAATTAATAAAACGAATATTCATTACATTTATTAGTTTTAATCTGAACAATTGAAATATTCAACAATATAAAAAAATAAATAAGGCTGGTATATGTTTAAGCAAATAGAATAAAATAAAGCTCAACAAACTGTAAAGTTAAGGGATGACTAAATAATTTAATTTACATTTTCTTTGATTTAAAAAGATTAAGTAAAGTCGAAATGTCTCTTAATTTATATTATTGTATTATCACTGATGTAAATTAAGTTATATAATCATACCGAATGATTTTATAGTTTGCTCGATTTTTGACCTTATTTTATTTTATTTGTTTCATACATTCAATTATAATAAACGTGAATTTACATCGAAAATAGTTTCTTTTTTTATAATTTGTTCTATGCAACTGATAAAAATTTATTAACTTAAAATATAAAATGTTATAAAAACTTTATACCTTCATGTGTAAGTATTATCAGCCTGTAATTCTAAAGAAATATCTTTTCGAATAAAGTGAAAAAGAAATAAATTCGTCTTTCTCAAAAATTTGTTCCTTAGTGCAATCTAGTAATCTACAAAAATTTTATATTATGAAATAGAAAATATTTATTTTATTTCTAATATTTTTAATATTTTTTATAAAATATACATCACCATTTTCATTCCATGATTCTTTAATCGACGTATGACAAAATTCTCTTGCATTTAGTGATTTGTAATTTGTTGGAGGTTTATTATTACCTGGGAATTTATTTTAATCCATTATTATCACAATATATTTAAATAGTTTCCAAAAAAAATGTATATAATACAATACATACATGAATTTTCTGTTGTCTCTATTAGATTTTTATTTGTTGTTTGGTTCATTGAATGTTGACTACTCTTCCTCTTAATAGCTTTTGTCTTTGTTTGACTTTCCTCTTCTTCCTCAGAAGAAGAATTGGAAGAGGAAGAAAGAAAACGATATGGTTTTTGAATTGCACGTTTTTGTGAAACCTCAGTATTTTTCTTTTTGTCACTTCCGCAAGTTTTTCATCATTCGTTGAAATATCTAAAGTATTGTTCTCAACTTCTCTCGCTTCTTTGAAAGTATCTTTATATCAAATATAAAATAAATATTTAATTTCTATAAGTTACATATATTGGAAAGAAATATTTATCAATTACATACCGAAAGGTCCTAATAATTTGGAATATGGAACTGTTATCCATTTTTCTTGAGGCTTTGTTCCTCTTTTACTTTCATTAGTAGCATTCTTATTTTTGGGTGGCCATTTAAAAACTTGAGACTTTAAGATAATTCAAGAATCCGGTATTGTAGCGGTATTGTACCATTCCGGTATTGTACCATTCATCCCAAAAAACAACAAAATACGAGTACATGTCTGAAATTAAATTTTATGTATTTTATTAGTTTTATGTGTAAATAATATTTAAATTATTAATTAGGTCTGAATTACTTTAATTAGACTTATATTTATCTCAATTATTTATGTTTGAATTACTTTAATTAGACTTATATTTATCTCAATTATTTATGTTTGTTTTCAAAATAACAATAAATAATATTCAAGGCCAACATACCGCAGTATAATTCCTAGGTTAATTAATCAAAATCATCAAATCCGAAGATATCTTTTCCATCCTAACGTAAAATAAATAAGTGTTAGCAAAATTTGTCACAAAGTATTAAAACACGTTTATGAATAATATATACAATACTTATACGAACTGATTACAATGGGAAATATACAAAATAATGTTCACGAACCCTTCGGTCAGTAAGCTTATTGTTCACCGAATGTTAAACAAGGATAAGCAATAAATCATGCGCATTCATACATGAAACGGAACGCAGCCTATGGGTGCATTTGAGGAGACACTATTCGCGGCGCGAATTTTGACGCTATTTATCGCTATCAGCTGTTTGCGGAGCTAGCTAATAGCGCTATTAAACGCAATAATGACAATTTATGGTAGATGGTAATTAATTATATACATTTTTATTTTTGTAGATGATATGTCATCTTTTCAGGAGCAATAATACAAGATTTAAATAGGTTACAGTTCTAAGATCTATTCTTTTCAGCTGCACTTGTTGCAGTATTAATCTTTCCTCCTTTTCTCTCCAACGTAGAGAAAAAAAGAATGTAGTTGTAATGAAAACATTACTGATATTTCATACTAATGTTTAATGGAAAAATTATAAATGATATAAAATCATAAAATATATTTGACATGATATTCACTAAATTTATAAAAAATAAAAATATAAAGTGTAAGGCTATAAAAGTATAAAATATACTTTTATATAAACTATAAAATTTACTTATAAACTATTTATAAAAACTATTATTACTATTATAAAAGCTATTATAAAAATTATTAATTATAAAATATTATTTATAAAATATTCATATTAATATAATTATATACATTATAATAATATATTATATAATAAATATTAGAAAATATTTTTTTATATTTTTGATACTTATGTAGAATTCATACATGTTATATTTTTTATACTGCTGTATGTATAAGAGGTAAAAAACAATATGATTTTCCATATGGAACACATACAGCTTTTGTACAAACATCATCAGAATTAAAAGTTTGTATATTTGACCATGTATTTCCTACAACAATGTTAAACTGTAATGAACTTATAGGATAATTCTCAAGCTCAACTGGATTTAATAAAGTTTTTCCTTTTAAAATTATGTTGTTATTATAAATACAAATATTTGTTATGGACAGAATATTATTATTTTTTAAATAACAAAATCTATTATTAATTTTCTTGAAAGTATGAAATCTTTATAAACAATATTGTCGAATGAATCTATTCTTGTTTCCGCGGACTTTTTGGCATTAAAATTTTTTACTTGTGGTTTTAAAATTGTGTCTATTTTTTTACAAAAATTGCAATTAGCTCGTTCAACAATTCTATTAAAACAATTGTTGTAATGGTTTATCACCTTTTTTTAATTGTTTCTTTATACTAAATAAGAAACTTTCAAAAGGAAATCTGCTGAAAGAATCTAAGTTGCCAAATTTTGCAACATCATTAGATAAATGAATTAAATTGTGAATATTATTATATAAATCATGAATTCTTCTCCATATAGATGTTGACATGTTTTTACAAAATAAATTAATAAATCTTTAGCATATTCATTATTATTGATAATACAATCTGTTTTATGGCATAAGATTCTAATTGCACAATGCAATGCGTTAAAATGTATCATATATTTATCAGATAAATAATTTTGTAATATAACAGGACCTATATATAATAAAAATAGTCGTAACTCAGTAGCTTTCCACCGATCAATTTCATCTAAGCTGCGGGTTTTTCGTGCAAATTCTGCTGGAATCCATTTTGAAATACGTTTTAAACTTGCAAATATTTTTTTTATCATATTTGCACTAAACTTAACAGACTTAAACTGTCCTTTAACAAAAAGTTGTAACATTTTTTTTACGACAGCAAGACAAACAAGATGCATATAATCGAGGGGAAATTGACTGATCATTCCTAAGTTTACTTGTTCAAAAATAAATGTTCCATTGTGATGATCTTCATTTTTCCTTTCAATGAAGTTTTCATCAGTTCTTAATTCTGCATTGAGATCAAGAAATACCATTCTATAAGAGATGTATTTACCTCGTTGTATGCATTTTGAACAGCCAAAGTAACCATTAAATCCTTTTGTACATGTTACAAAAGATCGAGCTGGTGTATCACAAATGACCGCCCTAATTGTTACTTTAAATTGTAAATTTCCATCAAACTGGAAACCCTCATCATGTAATGTTTTATATTCTTTAATAAAATCTTCAAGAAATATATTAGGACATTCTGGCTTATTATATCCATGATAAGTACCAATAATAAATGGTTCAGCAATTACTGGATAAATTTGACCTAATATTGGATATAATTGACTTTTAGAACTTTTCGCCAATGGTTAGGAATCCATCTATATTAATATTTATTTGAATATCATGAGATACTTTATTTATATCCAAAGCTTTCAAATGATCAATTAAGGCGTTCTTTAAACCGTAATGGAAATATTGATCTGGCGATACATCGCGTAACATAACATTGTTTGGTATATGCAAAAGTGTACGTGAATCCAATGGAAGATTTTGTAACTCGCTAATATTTTCAACATTTTTTAAAACTTTTAATAAAGCTCCTGTTGCTTTGTGACTGATGTTAAATCGACATACATTGCATTAATTCTTTTTTAAAATTTAATTCTGTTTTTTTTGTATTAATTACTTTGTATGAACATAGTTCAGTGTCCATTTCATTACTTAATACTACTTCATGTACATGACATTCATTTTTATGATCACAAACTTCTGTTTCAATAACCGAATAATTGTCTTGTAATATATTTTCTTGTGGTGGATACACATTATCATTACTACTTTTTTTATTTGAACTGCACGTTAAATTGCAGATTTTACGAACAAGTCTCCGATTCCTTTGACTTTTAGATAAATTTCTAAACGCTTTTCGTTCAGACATCTAAAATATATTAATCTAAAAGTTTGCGGTATCTATAGGTGTATTATTTTCATTCATTATAACCTAATAGAGGATTAATTATTAATTTATTCTAAGATTAATATTAGTATATCAGTTAATGTTTTACTTACTGCGAAACATACCGTTGTATTTTTTATTATATTGCACTCACTTATTAAAAGCATTAAATGTCTATTCACTTCTAAGCACTAAATTTCTATTGTATTGTACTATCAATAAAAATGTATTTTTATTAGCACTAGTACATACAATTTTTTAGGTTAAACCTGCCTCTTGAATATGTTATTTTTATGGCTGCGGTCAAGACTGCATTACGAATGCTCCGAAACATCATTCTATCTTTATTCTCATAGAATATAGAACAAAGATAGAATGATGTTTCAAAGCATCCAGAGCGTCTTCTCGACCGCAGCCTATGATATCTTCTGAAACATTAAATGGATCTCTCATTAAAGATATCATAATTTTGTCTGGTTTCTGAGCTGTCCATATAACAGCGCATGTGCATTTGAAGGCTCAGAAACCATACAACATAATGATATCTTTTATGAGAGATCAAACTGATATCATTTAGCATGATATCAAAAAGATAACAATTTCAAGAAATCTCTCAAATGAGATATCTTAAAGAGTTCTCTTAGTAGATGCCTCTGGTAAATGATGATTATGAGATACCATTTGGATATCATTTTCAAGATAACTAAATGTTTTCCTCAAGAAGTTCTCCTAAAGTTTTCATTCTGACAAGCGTGTTATCTGGGTTATTTCGAAAATCACAAAACGGAAAATTTTTCTATTCGGTTTAATCTATTTACCTAACAGAGACGATTCAGTTATCTGAACATTCTATATACAGAATGTCTAACATAAAAATCTCTATCAAAAACATGCAAGTAATTCTCGTTAAACTCAATTAAAACGTCCTTTATCATTTTGTAAACAATCACGTAAAATTTTGACATATTAATTAAAGAAGATCTTAAGTAACATATAATATGGTAAAGTGTAAGAGGTTCAATCTATCACGCTGTAGATAGAGGTTCAGTACAAGTCCGTTAAAAAAGTCTCCAAACCATGATAACAGCTCGTAGCAAAACAGCGTGACACGTTTGATGAGAGCTCCTCTCACCGCTCCTCTGTGCGCATAGTATCAGGTTACAATGTTACGGCTTTCATCGCCGCGCACTTATACTTTGGCAAATTTATTAAAATAAATATTTCAAAATTTCGCGTGATTATTTGCAAAATGATATAGAACTTTTTGATTTAGTTTTACACTTCACGAGATTTACTTATAGATTTTCGATGATTACTTTATATCATATACCTTGTATATACAAAAGAACATGTTTTAAGATATTTTTTTCTTTTATACATTTAGTCGCATCTTAGGTACAACATATCGGAAACCTTGTTTACAGAATGATAAATATAATATTATCAATTTTGTAGTATTTGTATACGTTGAAATAAAAATATTGGTTGGAAACTGTCTTTAAATTATACAATTGATCTAAATGAAATGTCCTCAAATTAAACATTTTATCTCAATATACTTTTAAGGAATATTTTAAATCTCAAATTAAACGTTTTACGCAAATGTTTTTCAAGTTTCAAACAGTGTTAGTACTAATTTCTTTTATTGGACGTATTTTTTGAGTCCATTCGGAAGAAAAATTCAATATTGTGAATTTTTAATTGCAATTCATAAAACTTTAAGACAACTTTTTTATAATTAAATATATTAGTCCAAAAATGCTTTAAAAATTTAGTTCTTAGAAAATCATAAAAGATTTGCATTATTATTTTTCATAAAAAATCATCTTTTAAAAATTCATGTCAACGTATAGTTTTAAATATTATATATTCCGAATAAATATTACATACTCTTTTAGGACAGACTATTGTAATTATATTTCTCTCAATTGCGATTTTTTTCACGTACATATTCATATGTATATACATTATCTGTTCATATGTACACATATTATTATTATATATATAATATATATATATTAATTGTAAAGAATGCTGTGTACGCATATATTTATTTAAAATTATATTTATTTAAAACATATATTTCAAAATTCTACGTTGACATGTAATAAATTCTTTAAAAACTACTTGTTATAAAAGATAATAATGCAAATTTTATTTAATGTTATTTTGTGATAATTATATATTTTTGAATATTTGTAAAATAAATATTTAATTATAAAGAAATTGTTTTACAGTTTTATAAATGTATAATTCAAAATATTTAATTTTTTTAAAGTGGGTTGAAGAAATGCTTTTGACAAAAGAAATTAATTTTAAAAGTTAAATAAATTTGGAGTATGCCTAAATAACATTGGGATTAAATTTGTTTTGGAATATAAAATATATCTTAGAAGTATATTGGGATAAAATGTTTACCCACAGGGCACAAAATACTAAAAGACGACAAAAAGATGTCTTTTCTAAGTCGACTTTTGGACATGGCGAAAAAGATGTCTTATAGATGTCTTTTCGTCATGTCGAAAAAACGACTAAAACAAGACGTCCTTTCGTCGACCTTTTAAAGTCTAGAATTTGTACGTCCAAAAAGATAACTTAAAAAGACGACGAAAAGATGTCTTTTCTAAGTCGACTTTTGGACATGGCGAAAAAGATGTCTTATAGATGTCTTTTCATCATGTCGAAAAGACGACTAAAACAAGATGTCCTTTCGTCGACTTTTTAAAGTCTAGAATTTGTACGTCCAAAAAGATAACTTAAAAAGACGACGAAAAGATGTCTTTTCTAAGTCGACTTTTGGACATGGCGAAAAAGACGTCTTATAGATGTCTTTTCATCATGTTGAAAAGACGACTAAAACAAGACGTCCTTTCGTCGACCTTTTAAAGTCTAGAATTTGTACGTCCAAACCCAGACAACACAGGACATTCATTTTATGTCCATTTTATGTCCGCACGTCCATGGACATAAAATAAACGTCCATCGTACATCCGGTTTAAGACATCCGTTAATGGGCAATATTTGGACGTCCACAATTTGGATGTCCGGTCTTGGAGGTCAAAGTTTCTCGCAAGCACACAAGCATGTATGTATTAGTTCGTTCGTTTACCGCTACGTGACTTGCGATGCGCTATCTTTCTCGTATTTAAGTTTCAGTTATGAGAATTATATAAAGTTTGCAAAAGATAACAAATAAGATTAAAAATGTATTGTTCAATTTAATTTCTGATCTAAAGCGGGTTTCAGATATTAAATTAATTTTATAAGTCGGATAAGTAAATGTCCGACGAATAAACGAAAATAATTTTTCATTATATCTATTTAAGATGTAAAGTGCAATATGCAAGTATAAATTATAAATAAAATTTTTATACAAAATTTTTATGTAAAATTTTATATGAAATAGATAAATTATATTATTATTTAGGGATTGAAATATATATGTTTCGTTTAAAAATTATGATATGATTTAGTCGTCTTTTAGTCATCTTTTAGTCATCTTTTGGCTTGACAGATTAGTGACTAAAATCGGGTCATGAGCCGACTTTTAGTCGACTTTTCGTCGACTATTGTCTCTAACTAAAAGACGTCTTTGACGAAAATATGTCCAGTTTTAGTCGTCTTTTAGACGGCTTTGTGCCCTGTGGGTAATTTGAGGACATTTCTGTATATTGATTGTATAATTTAAAGATAGTTTCCAATCAATGTCTTTGTCTCACAGTATACAAATACTATAAAATTGACAATAGTTTTTTATTTATTACTGTATGTGCAAAATTTCCAACATGTTCGTAAGATGCGAGTAAATATGTAAAAAAGAGAATATTTTAAAAAACATGTTTTTTTGTATATATACTACCCCAATAGCCAAGTCTGCTAAAGCAGATCTTGTCAGGGAATCTGTTAGAAATTGTTGTCGACAGAAAGATTACAGAATCGATGCAGGTTCTGATATATCATGTGATGTCGCCAGAATGTCAACAGAAATATAACAAAGCTTGTTAACATAATCAGTTACCAGATTGGCAGCAAAAATCGAACAGATTCTGCCGGCATAACTTAGTGGCAGATTGGTGGCAGAAATTGGACAGGATCTGTGCGATGCAATTTGACAACAGATTGTCGGCAAAAATCGAACAGGATCTGCGCATACAATCTCTGATAGCAGATTGATGGCAGAAATGGAACAGGATTTGCATGATTCGATAGTTCTTTCACTTACCGCTACGTGAGCTGTACTTTCTCGTAATTGAATTTCTGTCAGAAATATATATAAAGTCACGAATATGAATAAAAGACTAAAAATATAGTAATCATCATTTTAATTTTTCACTTTAATTTCTGATATCTGATACAAGCAAATGAGAGTCAGAATTCAGAATATTAAACTGATTGGAATCAATATAATATATGGAAAATTATTCATGCACTGGCTATTTGAGGCATAAAGCAAGAATTTAATTCTAAATAAATTACATCTCAAGTTTTACAAGTTACATTTACTTTATTATTAATTTAATTAAATAGAATTGAAATTAGTCCTTCGCTATATGAAATATAACTATGATATAACATATTACATATATGTCATTTTCTATAAGAAAATTCTAATTAACTTGCCGATAATATTGTTATTTAGCACCTGTAATAATCAATTTTGTTGCATTTATATAATATTAATAAAAGTGCAAATCTTGTGAAATTTCTGCTGTCCATTTGCCATCAGGTTGCATCCGCAGATTCTGTTCGGTTTCTGCGGACAATCTAACATCAAATTGCACGCGCAGATCCTGTTCGATTTCTGCTAACAGTCTGACATCAAGTCATGTTAGCATTGATAGCAGATCCTGCTCAGTTTCTGCCGACAATCTGATATCCGATTCTGTGAGCAGGTTCTGCTAGCAGATTAGAAGCAGAATGAGGACGCAGTAGATGTCATTCTGCTGACATGGTTTGATCAAATCTGTTGCCAGTCTGTCGACATACTGCTTACATTTTGCTTATTGGGTATTGACGTAAATTATTCCACCAAAAATATACAAGTTGATCTTGTTAGGTTAACTAAACTTACTGAACTAAAAAAATCCTCTGTCATTTTGTAATCATGTAAAAATTCGAAATATTTGATAAAAAAGATTGATCAAAGTACAAGCGTGCGGCAACGATAGCCGTAATATTGTAACTTGATACTAGACGTGCGGCGAAGCTTTCTATGTATATGTATGTCGTATGACGTGTTTCATAAAGATTGTACCAACGCTTAAAATTAGTAAGTTTTTTTTTGCTTGGCTAGACTACGAAATATGTGCTCTAAATATGTCAACGGTTTGCACGCGCGTACCCCCACTCTCGTCGTTAAAAGTCCTTGCGGAATACGGGCGGTTATTACCTGGCATGCTTAAAACGCACATCCTATATATATATATATATATATATA